TTAATACAGTTCCTTATGTTGTAGCCACCCTTTAATACAGTTCCTCATGTTGTAGCGACCCTTTAATACAGTTCCTTATGTTGTAGCCACCCTTTAATACAGTTCCTCATGTTGTAGCGACCCTTTAATACAGTTCCCTTATGTTGTGGCGACCCTTTAATACAGTTCCCTTATGTTGTGGCGACCCTTTAATACAGTTCCCTTATGTTGTGGCGACCCTTTAATACAGTTCCCTTATGTTGTGGCGACCCTTTAATACAGTTCCCTTATGTTGTGGCGACCCTTTAATACAGTTCCCTTATGTTGTGGCGACCCTTTAATACAGTTCCCTCATGTTGTGGCCATCCTTTAATACAGTTCCTCATGTTGTGGGGTCCCTTTAATACAGTTCCTCATGTTGTGGGGTCCCTTTAATACAGTTCCTTATGTTGTAGCCACCCTTTAATACAGTTCCTCATGTTGTAGCGACCCTTTAATACAGTTCCTTATGTTGTAGCCACCCTTTAATACAGTTCCTCATGTTGTAGCGACCCTTTAATACAGTTCCCTTATGTTGTGGCGACCCTTTAATACAGTTCCCTTATGTTGTGGCGACCCTTTAATACAGTTCCCTTATGTTGTGGCGACCCTTTAATACAGTTCCCTTATGTTGTGGCGACCCTTTAATACAGTTCCCTTATGTTGTGGCGACCCTTTAATACAGTTCCCTTATGTTGTGGCGACCCTTTAATACAGTTCCCTTGTGTTGTAGCGACCCTTTAATACAGTTCCTTATGTTGTGGCCACCCTTTAATACAGTTCCTCATGTTGTAGCGACCCTTTAATACAGTTCCTCATGTTGTAGCGACCCTTTAATACAGTTCCCTTATGTTGTGGCCACCCTTTAATACAGTTCCTCATGTTGTAGCGACCCTTTAATACAGTTCCTCATGTTGTAGCGACCCTTTAATACAGTTCCCTTATGTTGTGGCCACCCTTTAATACAGTTCCTCATGTTGTAGCGACCCTTTAATACAGTTCCTCATGTTGTAGCGACCCTTTAATACAGTTCCCTTATGTTGTGGCCACCCTTTAATACAGTTCCTCATGTTGTAGCGACCCTTTAATACAGTTCCCTTATGTTGTGGCCACCCTTTAATACAGTTCCTCATGTTGTAGCGACCCTTTCATACAACTCGTCATGTTGTGGCGATCGCACCCAATACAATTATCTTCGTTGCTACTTCATTACTTTAAAGGATATGTGTTTTCTGATGGTCTTTGGCAACCGCGGCGAAAGGATTGTTCGACCCACAAAAGGATCGCGAAGCCACAGGTTGAGAACCTCTGGCGCAGGAGAAGGCAACTTGGTTTACCTCTGACGGTAGGAAGTTTCTAACACGCTTGGCAGCTCCCAACTGTAGGGAAAGCATGAACAGACCCACTGCCTCCCAGCCAGGATGTCGAAAGAGTCGACTGAGTGGGGGTTTCCTTTGAAATGGATCCGTCTGACAGGTAAGAATCCAACAATCTGCATAAAAAATAAGTCAGATCTGTAAAGCAGATGTGCACGCAATAATTAGGTGCTGATCTGACAGAGCCACTGTGTGCTTCGTGGGCCTAGCTCGTCACATTCAACATCGCTATGGCCTGCAGGTCCCGTGCCTCCACATACAACATTTCCAACATTTTCTGGAGAGTTGAAAAAGTTGCAAAAACAACGTTAAAGGAAATTCTTTTAACAAGGATACTTGCTTGACATGAAACAAAATGTTACTCCCGACAGTGTTGTCACATTGTTAATAGTCCGCACAGAGCACGAATTTTTTAAGTGAAGAAAATCTATTGTTAGTTGCTTGGAATTCTTCTTAGGGCGGTTTGACTGTACAGTAAAATTTCGTTTAACGTCACCGTCCGCATCAAGAAATGCAGTGAAGAATGACCGAACATACGGATAATAGAAATTTTGTAAGACATATTTTCAGTAACGCGATTTTACTGTGGGCTTGGGACGATAATATCAACAAAAAAAAAAAAAACAAACGTATATTGTGATACCATGGACAGCCAAAAAGAGCAACCAAGAGGTTTTGAAAAAGGCGGGAGCCCGAAGACAACTTATCACAGACATCAGAAGGAGACAGTCATCATTTTTCGGCCATGTTATGAGAAGAGGGAAAATATAACATGTTGTGACCACTGGAAAGATATGTGAGAGGACAGATAGAGGAAGACAACGAGAGAAGATGCTTGACAGTCTTGTTGCATGGCATGGAGGTGTGTCGGCACACGAACTGATACATGCTGCAGGAGATCGCAGATTATGGAGAGACATGATCGCCCACGCCAGTCGGCAGGATACCTGATGATGATAATTATTGTGTTTAACTTAAAAAAAAAATAAACGATGAATATAAACTTCAAAATGATTGTAGTCATGTACATAAATGTATTGCAAAACTGTGAAATATTCTATATTTTAGACAATGGCAGATAACATAAACTATTGGTTCACCGATTGACGGTTAATGGAAGTTCCACTGTAATTGAATTGATTCAAAGGTTTAAAAATTGCAGTCATCATCTTGAATTGTTACGATGTAGCATTTCCTGTTTGTTTTCAGAATAACACAGTAACACAATTTCGTAACAACTAATCACTGTTACAGACAGTCATCCGCCAGAGTATCAGAGCAACATCAATAAGGCTTAATTAATTAGAACCACACACACACAAAAGTCAACCAGTCTATTGGACTGGCAATAGATGGCAATCGCTGGTCACTTTAGATGGGCCGAGATCTATGGGCTCTGTCGACTCACTCTTCCCCCACGTTTGTACGACCACCTCCCATACAGCAGCAGAGCACCACCAGTAGCAGAAAGGGAACTATCAATGGAAGCAACCAAAATGAGGGGTAGATCTGTTCCATTTCTGAAGGGGAAAAAAAACACACAATTAGAAAGCCTTTATAAACTCCCTATGTGACTCAATAATTCAACACTAATTTACGGATTTAACCAGCAGATTTCGAGAAAATGTCTTGCAAGTGGGATCATGAGGTGTTGAAAGAACTATAATCACTTATTGTAAGGTCTGAGTTGGGTTCCAATTTACTCACTCACAACTCATGTGTTTTGCAATCGATGTATGCCTGTCTCAGTTTGTGTGTGCGGTTATTTTAATGCCCCATCCTGGTTGTCGTTTTTTGGCTCTAAATGTGATTTACAGATTGAACTGGGTTTCTGGAATGCGCCCGCGTGATTCTCATCCGAATAGTGGCACTTAGGGTGACCGAGGATTTATCTTTCGTCGTGCGGTCCTGGTGGGGTTAAACGTCAGTCATTCAGTCGTGGAACATATATTCCCATTGAGAAGAAACCATCTTGCCCGTCTTAACAAAGGAATTATTATAACTTCAACTGGGGTACCGACTAGGGCTAAATGAATAATACATTTGATGCTATGATATTATTAACTCAGTGTCCTAATGGCCACTGCAAACATTCGTTTCATGTCTCTGTAAATCTTTGTCGCATCTCTCTGTAAATCTTTGTACCATGTCTGTGTAAATCTTAGTCTGATGTCTCTGTAAATCTTTGTCTGATGTTTCTGTAAATCTTTGTCTGATGTCTCAGTAAATCTCTGTCTCATGTCTCTGTAAACCTTTGTCTCATGTCCCTGTAAATCTTTGTCTCATGTCTCTGTAAATCTTTGTCTCATTTCTTTGTAAATCTTTGTCTAATGTCTCTGTAAATCTTTGTCTCATGTCTCTGTAAATCTTTGTCTCATGTCTCTGTAAATCTTTATCTCATGTCTCTGTACATCTTTGTCTGATGTCTCTGTAAATCTTTATCTCATGTCTCTGTACATCTTTGTCTGATGTCTCTGTAAATCTTTGTCTCAAGTCTCTGTAAATCTTTGTCTCATGTCTCTGTAAATCTTCGTCTCATGTCTCTGTAAATCTCTGTCTCATGTCTCTGTAAATCTCTGTCTCATGTCTCTGTAAATCTTCGTCTCATGTCTCTGTAAATCTTTGTCTCATGTCTCTGTAAATCTCTGTCTCATGTCTCTGTAAATCTTCGTCTCATGTCTCTGTAAATCTTTGTCTCATATCTCTGTCCACCAGATCTGCAGCTTGCGTCTCGAAAACCACACCTCCACAGCCTTCGAGGTCTTCTTGATTTGTTAGTTATATTTAGTCATTTACAGCTATCCAGAAGTACCGGTTCAACATAACATTACTAGTACACTTTTTCTTATGTTTAAGAAAAAAAAACATGTTGCAAATAATACTTGTCCTCTTCTGAAATGAGTCTATCGCCTAGCAAATACTGCTCCTAATCAGATGTTATAGTTTGCCTACTAATTATTAGATAAATACCAAATTAATATATTCTTATTAGGTTTTGTAAGTTCGGTAATTTAAGGACACATGTAAACATTTAACATATCATGTGAGACATTCACAGAAGAAAGGACAGGATCACACACGTGAAAATGATTTTTAAAACTGGAGAAACTTCGAACGCTATACAAGTAGTATATACCATGGAAGTCAAGCGTAATATTTAAGGCGACACCGCTCTATATTCTTAGTAATTGGTTTGGTCTTCTTTATTCATTGTACCCCCCCCCCCCCCCCCAATGACTTTGTAGAAAATCAGAACGAGTTACGCCTCTGGAGCGGGAGGCTGAACACTTCCGGTTTGATATTTTATCTAGGTCACCTGGCAGTTCGCGTGAGGCTCCTGGTCATGTGACTTAGGGTTGAGATGCTAGCTGATACACTGTGGTAAATATCGAATGATATGAAGAAATAATAACAAGCACACAAGATGACAAGTAACTCTGTAATGCGACATAAAAAAGACTTTATGTAACTTATATGTAGGAACGACAAGTCATGGCAGATTATTCAGTGTAAAAATAGATTTTATATTTATGAACAAATCGACATTTCTGCGATTAATTCATGCAGAGAAGTCCGTCGATTTGTAAACATTTAAGTAAACATTACCTATATTACAATATTCCCCTCTGTAGCCGTCTACACAACTGTGGCACACGCCATCAACCTTGTCACAGGATCTGTTCCAGCAGAACGCTGTACAGGGGATGTCACACAGGGCGCCGTAATATCCCACAGGACAGTCTGGGATGATATTACGCAAACATTCATCCACGTAATATGTAAAACATAAGCAGGTATCAGTTCTACTGGTCTTCTTCCTCTTTTTCTTTGCGTTCACTGGCTGTAAACTTCGGAGGAAAGTTCTGGTTAATCGTTCGCCTTTGAACTCCAATCTCCTTCCAGACTTAATTATTGCGAGCACAACTGCTTTACAGATCTGACCTATTTGTATGCAGTTTGTTGTATTCTTCTTGCCTGACAGACAGACGGACTACCATTTCAAAGGAAGCCCCCACTCAGTCGACTCTTTCGACATCCTGGCTGGGGAGGCAGTGGGTCTGTTCATGTTTTCCCTACAGTGGGTTCATGAAACCACAAGATGAGCCACTGGTCATTCATCATCATCATCATCATAAACCACTTCTGCCTTTAAGCGACGTTGATAGGAATAATTTGCGATCCAGTGCACGTTGGCTGCCACTGGCTTTTGTCTACATTGTCTGCAGTCAAATTGTAGTTAGTTAATCCAGTGAATGGGTCATGGCAAACCAACAATAGACACTAGACTCCATGTATGTATGTACGTATTTATGTCCTTGTGTCTGTCTGACTGTCAAATTGTCTGTCTGTGTAAAGACCGATCTAGAACAATGCTCTTCTGCATTACCCTCATACAGTGGCACTTCTCTGAAATGACAGTCTGGCAGAAATCATAAAAACAACAAAGAAATCGGATATGTCTAGATCTGCAATTCAAGCGCGTTCTTTTAAATGGTGACGTCAGTAGAAATACACTATATATGCACAAGTTTGATTTGACATGTAACATCACTCAATAAGATAAAGAGACATACATACGCACAGAAAAATATCTTATGTAGTTCGGCTATGTCACTGGAGGAGGACACACACACGCACACACACACACACACACACACACACACACACACACAAATGTGGGTTATTATCAAAGCCAAGCTTAGAATATAAATGCCAATCGCGGACATTTATTAGAATAGCAGACATTACAAACACACTTCGCCAAAAGTACAGGGATATGATTGTACACCAGCATGTTGATAATCCTTTAGACAACCAAAATAACCATTCTAAATGATTTTAAAGAAGTTAGGATGAGACAAAAGTTTGTCCTAATATTAGGAGAGAAGTAGTCGCCATGGTTTGGTTATGTAACAAGATCAACGTCAGACGGGGCATCACAGAGAACAGCCCTGTACAAATACAGAGGTAACAGAGCCAGAGGTCAACCACGCAGATAATGGACAGGAGAAATATCAGAGACAGTGAAAAGTACCTTAAAAGAAGCGAACAAAAGGGCCGGTTCTAGAGATCTCTTCCTGTTTTGACGTTGCGAGGCATTCAAGGAGTAGAGAAAAGAAGAAATAGAAGAAGAAGAAGAAGTCACCAATGTTCGCCTAAGTCTTCAGCAGAGAGAATACTGCTCTTGTGGCAAAAGAAAGCATGGTGATTATTCACTTAAACGAAGAATCGGAGTTGATGTTGACAGATAGCATCGACAGTTTGTAAGCATGTGAGATGCATGTATACATTAGCAATGTCTCTGCTTGGCTCTAGTTAGACCGCCTTCTCTGGTACATTGACAAGAACTTCAAAACACCCTGCTCGAAATTTGACCACACACATAGAAACACTAACAGCTGAAAACAACTCTGTTTGTTCCAACGATGTTCCTCGCTCAGTGCTCCATATGCGGGATGTCTTGGATACAACTACACCCAACATAACCTGATTATGCCGTTCGAATAAAGCACTTCAAGTAGCGCATTAGGCATGAGAGTCCCAACTCAATTTTTTTATGAGATGGGTGATGTGATCATCATCACACCGACTGCCTTTACTTCCTAGAACTTTACCTTTTCAGACATGATCTTGGCTCCCTGGTATCCGGTAAGGTTCTAGGAAGTAAAGACGGTCTGAGTGATGTTGACTACATTATCCATCTCACACACAAACATGTATCTAGTTTGACACGTACAGTACTCCACTGGAAGTGAGGTGTATAGGTGCTTGATAAACTGCACCAGTCGACAAGTCACATAGTTATGATAAACGACGTGTGTACACAAGCCCTAGGAGCCCCTACAGGATACTGGTGTCGCTAAGTTGTATCTTCCTGAGTACGATTCCACTACACGCTTGTGGTATCAGTTGGACGCTCATAATGTAGTGCAGTACTGGAGTCGCGAAGAACCAGGAGGTTTCTAAATGCTGAAGAGATTTCTTGAACACGAGACAGCACAGGGATGTATTACAATCACAGCATTTCTTCCCAAACTACCGTTAAGCGCTGTAAAATTGAACACTGTCTGTGCTCATACATTACCCTCACACTTGGATCCCATGCGGTTGCCAACACATGACAAACACTTGCCAGTGATGTTGTCACATAAATTATGTGGACATATTCTAGGGCAGGTTGTAGTGCAGTTCTCACCAAACCAGCCTTGTTCACATTCTGCAATATAGTGATGCGGACAGTGAATGAGTCAGTCATTAAGAGAATGTGTGTGTGTGTGTGTGTGTGTGTATATAAGTTATGAGTTATATTATCTTCAAAGCACTCTGGACACATCCATAGGCGCTCAGATTCCCCTCTCAACATATTCATCAGCGTCGTGAGGTAATAGTGCCAGTCCTATGTTGGTTGACAAGATTTCGTGTGCTCCAGTGTGCTTCTCATGCTTGGCTGTGCCGATCTTTACTCCCAGTTTGCGTATTTTTAGCAGTGATGTGGACACGTATGTAGGTAGTATCTATAAAGTGTTATGTGTGTATATTTGCAGTTAGGCAGGTAAGCAGGAAAGTCGGTGAGTATGTGTGTATGTACATGTGTGTTTCTATATGTGTGAGTGAATGTATGTTTGCCTCGCGTCAGCGTTGCCGTTCAGTTCACTAGCGCAGTTTTTAGGGATATTTCTGGAGAGCGTCGCCAGAGCTACTGAGTTCGTGCTTTGTGCAATGCTTTCGGTAGGCGGTTGGCCGCTTTGTGAAGGGACAAAACCGTATGTGATCATACCCGGTGCAATGAAGTCGATCGTCTAGTCTCTAACCTATTTTTATGTATGTATGTATGTGTGGATGGAGGGCATGATGCATGCATAGATGGATGGGTGCATGGATGGATGGATGGATGCATGCATGGATGGGTGCAGGGATGGATGCACTGATGGATGCATGGATGGATGGATACATGGATGGATACATGGATGGATGCAGGGATGGATGCAGGGATGGATTCATGGATAGATGGATGCATGGATGGATGGATTCATAGAAGGATTCATCGAAGGATGTATGGATACATGGATGGATACATGGATGGATGGATGCATGGATGGATGTATGGATAGATGCATGGACGGATGGATGCATGGATGGATGGATGCATGGATGTATGGATGCATGGATGGATGGATGCATGGATGGATGGGTGCATGGATGGATGGATGGACGGATGGATGCATGGATGGATGGATGCATGGATGGATGGATTCATGGATTCATGGAAGGATGTATGGATACATGGATGAATACATGGCTGGATAAATGCATGGACGGATGGATGCATGGATCGATGGATGCATGGATGGATAAATGCATGGATGGATGGATGCATGGATGGATGGATTCATGGATGGAAGGATACATGGATAGATGCATGGATAGATGGATGCATGGATAGATGCATGGACGGATGGATGCATGGATGGATAGATGCATGGACGGATGGATGCATGGATGGATGGATGCATGGATGGATGCATGCATGGATGGATGCATGGACGGATGGATGCATGGATGGATGGATGCATGGATGCATGGATGGAAGGATACATGGATAGATGCATGGATAGATGGATGCATGGATAGATGCATGGACGGATGGATGCATGGATGGATAGATGCATGGACGGATGGATGCATGGATGGATGGATGCATGGATGGATGCATGCATGGATGGATGCATGGACGGATGGATGCATGGATGGATGCATGGACGGATGAATGCATGGATGGGTGGATGGATGGATGGATGGATGGAAACTGGATTGGGACATGTATGCATGGATAGATGCATGAATGCACGGACGGATGGATAGATTAATGGATGAATGCGCGCACACTATCTGTGTATCTGTTATGTGTTTTTATACGTTTGTTTGTTTTTGTGTATAGACGTATGTCTGTATGTCTGTTTGCAAGCATGTATGTATTTATTAATAAATTTATGTCCATGTGTCTTTTTTTCTTTCATTCTGTCTGTCTGTCTGTCTGTCTGGTCTGTCTGTCTGTCTGTCTGTCTGTCTGTAAAATGACTGATCTAAAACAATTAGCTCCTGCATTACCCTCACACTGTGGGCCAGTAAAGTGTTCAATACACCAAAAGCATAGGCCCGTGATGCTGTCGCACTGCCGATCAAGACACCTCTCTGGACAGGCTTCGGTGCAGTTCTCCCCAAATAATCCCATTTTGCAATCTGGAAAAGGATAATTGTTATTTGGAGGCCGACATGGATGCAGGAAACTGTTATCACACCTGTGCATTGTTTAGAAATAAAACTGTTTTCATTCCCAGAAGGCCGCTTTCGCCAGTTTGCGTGTGTCATTTCCCCTCTCCGTATCGCCAAGTGTCAGTACGTATTTGTTCTCCTCGGACAGTGTCTCCTCATTGCCTTGGTGGCAGCGTCTGTGTTTCTCAATGACCCTGACAATTATGACGTCAATACGACCTCCCACGCCGGACATGTCAGATGGTTGAGAACATACGAAAAAAGACAGCTTAGTTTTTGAGTTGGGGTTGAAGGGGGAGATGCTATCCAAACTTTTGGGAATCGTCGAAGAAACATATTTCTGTGCCTTAACAAGTACAGATGTGAACATTTTAGAGAAATATCACTATTATCTTCAAGATATACGTTTTCAATAGGCCTGCTCAACAGATCAAAAAATTCGCGAAGGAAATATAAAGTGACTCAAGAGGGTTTCAGACAGATCTGATCAACAAAATATTAGATTTTAATTTAAGAAACACCTCCTTCTCTTTCTTCTTCAGTATTACACGTCCTCAGGGTTCATTTCTAAAAACATCACTCATTTCAGTTCATCTCTTTGGTTGGCCTTCTCTTTCCAGTTCGCTATAACAAGAGTATGTACGTAGTTTTAAATATTATTTCTCCGTCGTTGTGTGAGTGTGGAGTGCGCGCGCGCGCGCGCGTGTGCGTGTGTGTGTGGGTTTACACACACCGTTGAGCTCCCATGTGTACACAGTTTGAACCTTTTCGTCAACTGACATTCCTCCCAAATGCCTCATCAATTTCAGCCTATTAAAGATGGTTTTGATTCACCTCTGTTTATTCTCAACACACCGTACAACTTACGTCTAAACATGAGCACAGATTGATCTGATGTTGACTGACTGCATGCTGAAGGGTTCTATCCACACAGTACCGTTGTATCGACTCTACCATATGCTCATACCTGACTGCATGCTAAAGCGGTTCTATCCACACAGTACCGTTGAATCGACTCTACCATATGCTCATACCTGACCGCATGTTAAAGCGGTTCTATCCCAACAATACCGTTGTATCGACTCTACCATATGCTCATACCTGACCGAATGTCAAAGCGGTTCTATCCCCATAATACCGTTGTATCGACTCTACCATATGCTCATACCTGACCGCATGTTAAAGCGGTTCTATCCCAACAATACCGTTGTATCGACTCTACCATATGCTCATACCTGACCGAATGTCAAAGCGGTTCTATCCCCATAATACCGTTGTATCGACTCTACCATATGCTCATACATGACCGCATGTCAAGGCGGTTCTATCCCCACAATACCGTTGTATTGACTCTACCATATGCTCATACCTGACTGCATGCTAAAGCGGTTCTATCCACACAATACCGTTGTATCGACTCTACCATATGCTCATACATGACCGCATGTTAAAGCGGTTCTATCCACACAATACCGTTGTATCGACTCTACCATATGCTCATACCTGACTGCATGCTAAAGCGGTTCTATCCACACAATACCGTTGTATCGACTCTACCATATGCTCATACCTGACTGCATGCTAAAGCGGTTCTATCCACACAATACCGTTGTATCGACTCTACCATATGCTCATACCTGACCGCATGTTAAAGCGGTTCTATCCACACAATACCGTTGTATTGACTCTACCATATGCTCATACCTGACTGCATGCTAAAGCGGTTCTATCCACACAATACCGTTGTATCGACTCTACCATATGCTCATACCTGACCGCATGTTAAAGCGGTTCTATCCACACAATACCGTTGTATCGACTCTACCATATGCTCATACATGACCGCATGTTAAAGCGGTTCTATCCCCATAATACCGTTGTATCGACTCTACCAAATGCTCATACCTGACTGCATGCTAAAGCGGTTCTATCCACACAATACCGTTGTATCGACTCTACCATATGCTCATACATGACCGAATGACAAAGCGGTTCTATCCCCACAATACCGTTGTATCGACTCTACCATATGCTCATACATGACCGCATGTTAAAGCGGTTCTATCCCAACAATACCGTTGTATCGACTCTACCAAATGCTCATACATATGACTGTGCCGCATTCATTCATGTTAACCAGCCGCCATACTAGTTAACTAGAATGGTTCAAGTCAAATATAAACACATCGTCACCAACGACTTCTGCCGTTAAGCTTGTGGGGAAGAGACATCTGTGATCCACTGTTTGCTGGCTGGCACTAGCTATTGTCGTGCTGTAAAGACGTAAAGTGTCTTTGATTTTGTCGATCCACAATTTCCGCAAGCCGTCACATTGCTCTTGTAGATAATTTACAGAGATGTTATGTCTGTGAAGGTATTTGATGTTGCTGCATTCTAACGTCACATAGAAAGTTTTTTTTAGTATTTAGTATTATTTTTAAAAAAATACAACAAACGGGTTTAAAAAAAAATAAAAACAACTAATAATTAAAAGCAGCTCAACCTGTGCACAGATCTCCTTCAAAATCTTCCAAACAAGTGCAGGATCCATTGATGTGATTGCATGGTTCTGCACAGTTCTCGGAACACGTGAGGTTGCAGCCGGGTCCAAAAGTTCCCAAATCACAGACTGTTATGAAAATTTGTAAACAGTTTCCATGAATAATTTAATAAAGAATAAGATAGCAAATGATTTTCAAAAAAGACGCGACTATAATACAGCAACAATCAATCTCACAGACGATCAGATGTTATAGTGGTTCCCCCACGGTCAACTAAATGACATCTTGAGTGATGGAGATAACAGCGGCCTTTCCATTCTCCCATTGTTTGCTTTAGTATCCAGAAGCCATGAGTTGTTAACCCTTAGGCTCGGTATAATGGATATCGCAACCTTTCGGCCTTGATTCCATTTTAAATATCGTAAATCTGGGAGAAATGTGG